ATTCAAAGGGGCAATGACATTGATTATTATTATGCATCCATTCTATGCCCGTATGAATGGGTTGAATCACATAGGCAAATGCTTTGAGTTGCTGCATTCGGTGTGCTCGCGCGCGCTGTTACCACGCATTCGTTGTGCTGAGAGGTAGAAGAGTTGCAACGTCAAACCAAAAACAACAACAAATGGATGGATGGTTGTTGTAAAATCGTTTGTGCGCATACAAATGATTGAGCCCGTGTTGTGTAGTGAATGTAGTGTAATATAATGTTCATGCTCTTTTCTGGCAACAGATTGTTTTCTCGCCACATTTTTATCGTCGACCGAAACCGAAAAATATCAGACACGACGAGCCCGGTTGCACTGACCATGATGTTGTAGGAAGCATAAAACATTTTATGGTGTTGCAAATGCAACAAAATTCACATTAACCACTAATTTAATGAGGCTCACTTTAAGTGCTTACGATGGGTTTTTGGCCTTTTTGTATATCGTGCCTTATCGATTTTTTTTTTCGAGAACATATGTAAAATGCTCCTTCCGAAACGTTCATTTGCACCATTTGCAAAATGCGATGGGCACGCAAACAATTCTTGTTCAGAAGTAAATACAATAAACTGAAAAATTGCTTTTAATTGAAAAGTGCTTCTTTGCTTGTCCAAATTATCTATAATTAAAACAAATACATTGTAAATGTTGGCCATTTGAAGATCGTCCAGCAGAGGAATTTCCTCGGAACAATGTTTACGGAACACGCGAAAAAACCAAGTGAGTGCGGGAGAGAGAAAAATGAGTTCATTTTTGTGGAATTGTTTTCGTTTCAAATTGCATGATGGCTTTTTTCCCAACGATTTGGAAAATGATTTCATTCGAAGTACTAGTATTTATCGTTCAGTTGATTCACAGCATTTCGTTTTTCGCTTGATTACTTTAATGTGACATCAAGTATGTATTTTTTGGCAGTTAAATGATACAGTTTATATATTCAAAATCGCATAAAATGTAACGACACGGTAGCTACTGAGACTTTCAACCGTAAATTAAAATTACATTCTAGCACCACCGAAAAACCGTGCATCGCGTTGTACACATACCCACTGTCAAGTCCTCAAAATTTACCGCAGAACATAAAATTATGTTGACGACGTTGCGCGCTACGTAAGAGTGGTGAAGCGCTTTTGTCTCATATTAAAACTAAATCGACTAAAGAGAAAAAGGAAATTTTATTGCGGAATATTTTATATGGCCATCTATTTCAAGCCGCCCGCTCAAATGGGATGGCAACAACAACAATAACAAAAGTTTCGTTTCGTCGAGTTATTTTCTATTGTATTTTTGTATTCATTTTCTTCTCATGCCGATAATTCGGTGACATGCTGCGAGGACAGAGATCGCGTATTTGTCGTTGCAAATAGATTGAACTGAACATGAACGAAAGAACAATGTCAATGATAGCGGAAAAAATGTAAATTTGCTATTATTCACGCATCAGTGTAAACGTATTCGTCGTTGGATATGTTGGCTCGTTTGTTGAACCACACAATTCTATGCTGTGTCTTGTGTGCTATTTTTTTTTTTTTTGACGAAAGAAACAAGCACAATTTCATAGCTGAGCACTGAGCCGACGAAACGGATAGGAATATGTGATGTTTATGTATGCAGCGGTATGTACGTATGTACAACTGTATGACTCTGCTTGTATGCTATGTGAACATGCGTGCAATTTTTTTCCCTCTGAATAATAGATCTGAAATACATATGCATAGACGCGTATAAAAAGAGAACGACGATCATAAACGAATAATTTAAGGTTGGTCGTAATCATCAACGTGGCGTCACATATCAATTCGGCAGCAATGCAAGAATGCCCGTCGCTGGAACGATTCGTCTCCACACAATGCCGCTGATAAAATCATTAACATTATCATCATCATCAGCAGCAGCAGCAGAGGCAGCAGAAGCAGCAACGACACTAGACATCCAGTGTGAATGCTGCATGAGAACCCAATCACAATAATCATCCATTTGTTGGGAAAATAATGTTGACATATTCAGAAGTATTATATTTTACTTAGAACATGTTAGACACTTTTATGCCTTGCTAAAAACGTTATTGTTCCGTTTTATTCTGTCGCTCTCTTTCTTGCGCTTCACATTTGTTTCGTTTTGTCACATCCAGCATTCGAATGCTTTTCATCATCTTCTCTTTTTTTCATTTTTATTTTTGACGCCTAGTTTGCTGTGCCATCGTTGATAAGACATCACAATTCTCGTGAAATACGTTCGCATTCACGAATAAGCATTCTGCATGTGTCGTGTTGTACCCGTCCACACACATATCAGGCAGTTTTTTCCGTGTTTTGTGCACACCGGATTTGTGATAACGTTAGCCTGATTGGATTTTATAGAGGATGCTTTTTTTTTCATTTATTTGCGTTTTATGCCCATTTTCACAACGTCGCATTTATAAAAGTTTCGCTCACAAAAAAGGGATTTAAGTCTCTTTCACTGCGCTTTGTGTGTCATACAGTACAACTTCAGTTTAACGATGCCATTTCAATGACTGAGCTGGAATCTAAATCGCATATTTTTCCCAAAGAATGTTTGAAACGAATTTTATATGTATATTCGTAATATGTACGTATTTATCAATGCTTTTACATTTTTCTCTCATTCAAATTCCAATGAAATTTGCTTACTCTAATTAAAAATAGCAGGTTTGGTTATTTCATAGAAAATTTACATACGAATTGACAATCTAAAATCAGACATTTGCCATTTAATATGGATTAAAGTCATGCACACCCCTCGCCCATTGAAAGGACACCAAAACTTTTTTTTTGATTCGAGGAAAATTTCATGAGTGTTTGTTTTTGTTAAAAAAAAAACACGATTTTAAACCGTTTTGGTTGCTCAAAATGAAAATGCTTTACGTTCGCCATCAAATACAATCTGAGCGTATCAGTTTGATGTGACATTTGATGACATGAAGTCATTTGCGGATCAAAGACACAAAACATTGGCGAGCACAATAAAAGGGCGCACAAATGTCACATAAAATCATTAAAGCCGGAAAATGCGTGAATGTGGGGGAGGGTGACGTTTTTTTACAGCCTACAGACAATATAGTCAGTGTGTTAGTACCGTCTAACTTGATTAAATCATCGTTTTTATTTTTGTTGTTGAACTTGTATTGTCTATTGTTTACCGTCTATGGCCTGTGTCAGTGCAGTAGTTTAGAAGTAATTGGCGTGGTTTCGCATTTCACAAAGAAAAAAGAGCCAACAGAAAACACGCTTCGTTAAAAATTAGTAGATCAATAATGAAGACTTTATTACTTAAAACCAATTTTGCCAAAAGTTTGGTTGGCTTCTTCATCGGCAAAACGAAAAGAAAAAACAATACGTAATTTGTGTTTAGTGCGTTCAATTCAAATGAATTATAAAACGAAAGCCACCCGTGTCGTTGTGATCATCATAGCAGCGCATAGGCAAAAATGTTCACTTCCATGATAACTTTTTGGCGTTTCCATTCATTACGCTCATCGTCGCTTCACTTATATGTTGGCAAATCGATGGGAAGCACTCAACGGGAGACAAAGTTAAAAAGAGGGAGAAAAGTAAAGAACGTGAGCGAATGAATGCGAAATGGAGCGGTAAAGAAAGAAAGAGTGTGCGAGAGAGAACGAGAAAGAGAGAGGGTGAATGTGACATTTCGTACACAAATTCAGCTGAATTCAACAACTGATACGCATAAAAAGTGAAATGTAGCTGTGAAACGAAGGCAAATCATTGTTGCAGAAAGCGAATGCTATAGGCGCGCGCGTACACGTAAACAATAAAAGATGGAATTATGATGAAGAGCCAAATAGAAAATTGAACCAAACCAAATGTATACAGTATAGCGTTAAAACGAGGAAAGAAAGACCGAATGATTTTTGGGATGGGGCATAAACGTGAAATCACCCTCGTTTCAAACGAAATGAGCCAAGCGCACACAATAAAAAACCATCGGATTATTTTTCGTGTTTTTTTTCATTCTCTTCAGTTACTTTGGCAGTGCGTTTCTTTTCACTGAATCTATTATTTAAAAAATGAAAATGCCGTTGTTTTTTAACTTGTTTATTTTAAATTATAAGAACGCAGATTGTATACAAACTCGAATTGCCTTTTACTCTTTATTGCCTGTTACTCTTCGTTCTACATTTGTAAATCAATATTATCATCGTCAGTTCAATTTTCTCGGTGGCATTTTAAAAAAATAATCATCATATTCCTTTAGTGAAATATTACATATATAATAGAAACTTTGTGCAATTTTCTTGATAGTTTTGCACGTCAAAAACAGCGCATTCACTTCGGTTTTGAAAATTGGTATTGGTTTTAAGTTTGGTATTGCTGTGCAAAATTCCACTTTATCCAAATATTTGTTCAATTACTATTTATACACCGCAAGCATTGAATTTTACAAGAAATTTGCATTGAAGTAAACAAAATATTGGTTGCATTCAGATATCGTTCATGTGTCATTTTCACGACTCGAGTCGCAACACGTTCGATTTCAAAACGGTACACGGATGCACGTTCACATCTTTCAAATGCCGAATATGTCAAATGATGGGAATTTCGTTGACTTGAATGGCATAAATTCACATATCCAATCAATATATGCGATTGCCTATGCTGGTGTCGTATCTTATACATATGTTTCTGATGCAATCTCGTACATCTTCTTTTCGTACGAAGCGAAATATGGAACTTATTTTAGGGAGAATTTGTCAAATGGATCATTTGTAATTTATTCAAAACGGAATATTTCGCTGGATAAACAAAAATACGAAGCTCGATAAATCCGCTTCAACATATCATTTACCAGACTCCAAACAAAAACTATATTTTATCATTTCTTGAATTAAACTGTACATTTCAATTAGTATTTTTATGCAATATTATGTTTTTATGGATGGTTGCAATTTCATTTCATGTAAATAAAAGAATAATGACTTTTTTTCATGTGTATATACGTTTTTATTATGGTTTTGATAAACGTTTGTTAATTTCACATGTGCAAACACTTGCTGATTTAGTGTCTTGTGGTTCTTTTTTAATGTTTTGCATTCGATACAGGTCACTTTGTGCACCATACGTCACGCCCATCACCGTCCTTGATTCCAGCGACTTAAATGTTTGCGTCTCAGAAGATGCAGGTCTCGAAACGATCGGTTCTCGATAGTTCAAATTATTAACAGTTCCAGGTTTATTCTCGGTACTTTGCATTTCGGCTTGCGCCTTTGACATGCTTCTGGTTGTCACTCTTTTCATTTTATTGATTAATTTGCCAAATCAACTGAAATGTGCACAAAAATATCGTTCACTTGAAAAATCATGCAAAAATTAATGAATGTTTGGAACAAACTGAGTTTTACAACTTTCATTTACAGCCCAACTAAAACCAAAACTTTAAATGAATTAATTAATTACCGGATTGAAAGAAAAGCTGACTGAGAAAACTCACTTATAGCACTTCAATTTAATATTGGCTTAAAATCGATAAGTTATTCGTTACTTTGATATTTCAAAGCCACTCTGGAGCGATGCTAAATAGAGCAGAAGCTGATTCAAATTGAAGCAGTCAAAATAACAAAGTGAATCATCAGCTATAATTGGTGATTGCATTGCTGCGTGTGCATCTCCCTCTCTCTCTGTGTATCTGGAATTGTTTTGGAAATAGTTTGTGAAATGTATAAAGAAGATGTATGTATTGACCATTTTTACCGTTTATCTGACTCAGAATGGTAACTGTGACATATCAAGTGCAAACAAATAAACAAATACATTCTTAATTTCATTGCAGTGCATAAATTATTATACGGATGCTTGCATATAAAGCATATCGTTTCAGTTTTTTTTAATTGCACGTGCGAATGTGTTGTGAAAACATCGTCTGGCTGCTTTTAGCCTGTATTTTATATTTATGCATTGAAATATTATACGCTGGTATTATATTCTGCTTATAATGCATAAAAGCGACATAAAAGAATTAATAGAGTTAATCTTTGTTAAAAGAAACCTTTAATTGGATTGGATGCAAAACAATAACAAACAACTTTCATATAAATACGGTTATAATTATATTATCCATGGTGATGAATGTTTCAAGAATATTGAATGCATTTCAGGAGCGTCGATGTTTTCACGAAATGCTTGAAATTTAATCAATATTAATTATTATTTGATGATTTATCATTGATTTATGAATATGACTTTGTAAGTTACTCGTTTTGTAAATTTATGATGTCACCTTTCAATGTGAATTATGATGGACTTGATCAACACTTTGCTCCGAATTCCGAGTAACTATTTTCGAATATATTTTCATTTAAATTCATGAGCTTCTAGTTTCCGTAATTGGACTGGAAAACTCTTATGAAATTTCTAACAAACAAACATGCAATCGTCGAAGTTTTCGTGTATGACCATTAAATTTTAATATAAAGTAATAAAATAAAGTTTGAAAATTGATAGAGCATTTATGGTATAATGTTTCTACTACAAATAAATTGGATGAAATTGAGCATCCGATTGGCAATATTTTTTACGATTTATTGTGATTCAAAAATGTAAACAAAAACACCTCAAATCACACTTTTGCGAAATCAAATGTTTGCCCAACAAATAAACTCACACAAAACTATTGACAAAATAATTTTTGTAAATAAAAATTGCATGATTCAGAAACTGTTTGGATAATCCGCAAGTGGTAGTTTTTTGTAAACACATTCATGTGTGTGTGTGTGTCGCTGCACTTTACCTTGAGTCCGTGATTTCGCGAGCACGTTCCTCTCATTTACTCGATTTAATGAAGCGAAATGAGTGAATATTTGAGTGTATTTGTGCTTGGATTGTTACGGATAACGCATTGAGAGATAGGAAAAGATAATACATGTAATTGTCGTGTTTCATGTAATTCAACTTACAGTTGGGTACGTATTTATATTTAAAGAGTCGTAATTGAGTTCGTATATATCAACAAATATCTTACATGCTCTCCTTTTATCAACAAAGCCCGAAAGCAAAATGAAAGAAAAAACAACATATACTCACTTGCACACACATGAACATTGTGGATTGGGAAAAAGAATAAAATGAACACAACTTGTACAAAGCGTAAGCGAAGCATTAAAAAGATATGTGTTCGCGTTTTTTTCCCGCTCTTCTTATTGTACTGCTTGACTCTTTTACTGTTTGAAATTCGTTCCATCGTTTGGTTTATTTACTTGAGTTTGTTCTATGGGTCTCGTAGCATTCGCTGTTTATGGCACATGAAACTTGCGCTTCTCTATTTTCTTTTCATTTTTCGTGATTTAATTAAATTAAATTTCTCTTGGCTTCCATGCCAGATCTGCAATCTTGCTCGACTTTTTCATTCTCATTTAGCATACTTGCGTGCGACTGTGTGTATGTGTGTGTGTGATGCAACCGTTTTGACTAAATCGATTCTATTTTGGAATGCGCTCGATGCAACAAAATTACACCGGCAAAGTTGGCTGACTTAAGCGGGCTGACGTTTTGAATTGGTTGGATTTTCATGTAAATATTTAATTATTGCATTTCAACGAACTCAGTCTTCCGGTAATTAATGGCGAATCGAATTTAATTCAGTAAATAAATCATCACTTGTGAGCGAAGTGAAAAAAATCACCCAGAGAGAGAGAGAGAGAGAACGAAAACTCTTCATCGACAGCAAACATTTCGGGCTCAATTCGCTTTGAAATTGAATCTCGATTGTAGTAACTAAAACCATTATATTCCATTTTATTGACACAAATAACGGTAGAATCAATAGCTGAGTATAAATAATAAATGAACCCTATAGTTGGCAGTGAGTTTTATTGTTTGTTCGTCGATTGGCGTTGTACATTTCGCACAAATTATCCATTTAAATATTGAACGTTTACGGTGTCCGTGCGACCATCGTACATCATGCCCATGTGGATTTTAACATCAATGAAATTATCTATTTTCTAATGCATATTTAATTTTTTGTACGCTATTACCTTTTTCATGGGGCGTAACTGAAACACACAATTTTCGAACAAAATAATGAAAAGCAAACACATGACAAGTTGAATTAAAATCGACAGAATTGTAAACGAGAAAGAGATGTGGATAATATTCAAGTACAAATAGCTATAGTGCTAATACCAACCCAACAAATTCATTGGGTCTCTTGTTCTATTCGAGTGAACTTCATAATATTTAAATCGCTGAAGTTGGGATTGGTTTGGTTCTTTCTCTGCCACATGCATGCTTCCATATATGCAAAACTATAATTTATATGTACTTCATTCGTTCGCTTTCTCGTTCGCTCTGTGTCATAAAGACTTTATGTAAGCATGTCTGCTCCCTCTTCGTTTTCCTACTCGATTAACATTACGAAACATATTCGCAATATGGAGAGTGTACAAAGCAACAAAGTTCTTCGTTCATTCTTTTTTTTTGTGTGCGCTTATTTCGGATAAATTCAATACATACGAACGCGATTGCAATGTATAATTTATCGCGATGAAACTACGAACGAGCAAATGCAACTTTTGTGCTAAACTGTGTATAAACATGTTGAATTGATGAATCTTTTTTATTCTGGACATTTTCAACAGAGAGAGAGAGAGAGAGAGAGAGAGAGAGAGAGAGAGAGAGAGAGAGAGAGAGAGAGAATGGTAAAATGATGGTAATATTGGTAATTGTATAGAAAATCGTTGGATAAATAAAACCAAGCGCATTCAATTGGTTCAACGGTTGTATTCTTTTTTTCTTCTCTCTAACAACCAAATAATGAAGTGAACATAGTTGGCTTACTGGCATTAGATTGTTCTGCTTTTGTGAATTAATAGTCCAGAATTAATTGAAAAAAAAAAACACACAGAGCCGCAATCAAATTAATAATGAATTTGAAAAACTAAAATCGTGACCATAAACAAAATGTTAGTGGTGAGCCTGAATGGCGTGTATTATTCATCTTCATGGCAATGGTTAGAAAATTTTACCATTTTAAAGACCATAATAATAATGATTCGATATTTGCTGGTATATTTGGTTACTTCAACAACAAATTTTCTTATTAACCCCAAGAATAAGTTCAAGGCCATTGATTGCAATGTCCAAAATGTGTGCGGACAGGAGTGTCTCGTCGTTCTAATTACACCTCAAAAGTCCAAAGCAATTTACATTGGCATGGACAAACAAAAGTCCATATTATAATCGATTTGTATTCTTACAGGCAATTCCAGCGAATGGACACTTAAACTTACTTAAAGTAATATTGAAATACCAAAATTATAATAATGGACATCCGAAAACGAGGATTAAATCGAAGGATAAACCTCAAACTATTATATGACCAAACCCATTTCAATTTTCCCATGAGTTGTCACAACTGTGTCCCTTTATTGCGGCATGTGCAAATGAAGCTTAGATTTTGCGTGTTTCGTTTTGTGTTCGCTTCGCTCTCACCTGTATATTCAAATGAAGCAAAACGCCTTGTCGAGTCTTTTAAAATTTAATCAACTAAATACGTGCTTACTTTCACACAAAGAACGAACAGGAACAAAGCAACTGAACAAAAAAAAAACTGCCCGTCCAAGAATTAAATAATAAATGAGAAGTTGTGCGAACTGTGTGGATTTTTGGATAGAAAGTTTTTCGAGTGAAGTTTCTCTTTTTAATATTTTTGCTCTTTGGACCCCCGTTGCAAGATTAAATCTGAATGCAAGTAGAACAACAACAACAGAAGCAGCAGCAGCATATATAAATAAACGCACGATTTGCAATCGCCAGGGAATACAGATTATATCCCTTTTGTCCATTTCGTAACGCAACTGTATTTCCACTCATACGTTATGTAACTCATCGAACCAAACACATTGCATGGCTTCATCCCATTCAAAATTTCAATTGCTTTCGCTCTACCGCATAACACAATGGCCATAGAACAGTTGAACTTCCAGTGCCTTGTTGTCATTTCGGTTTTACAGACAACGATAGAACCAAACACAACAAAATACTCTTTGCAAATTGAACGAACGAACTAAAAAACAATAACAGCAACAACAGAAATATGCAAACATCGGCATGCGAATTCCAGCTTGGCAAAACCAACTCGGCGTGGAATAAATAAATGCAATATGAATATAAATTGTATTCATGTATGCATATGCACCAACCGTCACACAAACACACACACACGTGCACGCTCACAATACACTTATATCAAGCATATGAACTCTGGCCTGAAGATTACTTGCAACTTTATTACTTTACCGCACTTTACGTTGTGTACAAATTCATTGATTCTTCTGAATTTATATCCGTTGTGGTAATGCCACTTGTGCAATTGTTGTTACATGTAATGAAACAGTTTACAACATTATTCGAAATTTTCAATTTTAGTTTAAATATTTTGAATTTGTCCATTTGTTGTTGGCGGTGTGCCTGATGCTGCATCTTTTATGTTTCATAAATTGCATAAACAAAAGAATTTCCATTTCAAACGATGTAAAATTTATGAGAGGTGCGGTGGGTTAATGCCATCTTTTAATTTGACTAAA